GAGGTAATCGGCAGGAGGCAGTCTCTCAGGTACCCAGGTCCGATGCCATGTAGGGCTTTATAGGTAGTGACTGGGATATGTAAATAAAAATAACAATCCAAAGAGCGGCATTGTTTTAAATATTTGCAAATCTCTTCAATGTAAGGCAAATAATTTTTGATTTTGTGGACCCCTGAAAGGGTCTTGGGGAATCCACAGTAGTTCTCGGACCACACTTTAAGAAATACTACTCTAGAGTGAAATTTATATGAGCGCATAAGAAGCTGTGAACCAGGATATTTGTAGTTCATTTATTCATTCATTCATTTTATTTCAATCATTTCTGTCCTAATTTCTGTAGGACACAAGCCATCTTTCTATTCCTCTCTGTCCTTTGCAAGATAGTACTGAATTATAATGTATTGCTTTGACTCCTACTTTGTCAATAGATTTTACTATTGGTAAAATTTTGAAGCCCATTTGACTTTTAAACCTTCTGCAAATAACTTTAAAGTCTGGCAAAAGTACCAATGCTACAATAGAGGTTGCTAGCCAGTTTGTAGAATAACAAATAGATGAGGTGTTTGATCCAAAGTTCTGTTATTTTAAATTTGGAGGACTGATTTAACTGCAGGCATAGGCACTAAGAAGGGGATGCTAGAAACCAGCAATTTTAGATTTGTTCTCAGCCACTGACACACTCATTTTGGACATTATGGTTGGAACTTCTTCCTCTCTAGATGTTGTATGTAACCACTTATTTTAAAATGTAGTAATAGTGCCCTGATGCAATTTTAGATTTGTTCTCAGCCACTGACACACTCATTTTGGACATTATGGTTGGAACTTCTTCCTCTCTAGATGTGGTATGTAACCACTTATTTTAAAATGTAGTAATGGTGCCCTGATGCACTATTGAGCAGGACTTTGCATTTCTGCTTCAAATTTCTATCCAAAGAAACACCAATAATTTCAAAAAATGAGAAAGGAATGATTCAGAGGGAGGGGCTGTGGAATCATATTTATGTGGGGTCCTTCGTGCTCTCTGAGCTTGTTTGTTTTCTCACAGATGTTTCATTTACAAACATCATCAGTGCTACCTAATGGATGCTTCCTAGTTTGGTAATGAAACGTCTGCAAGAAAACAACCGAGCTCAGTGGGCATCAAGGACCCCACAATTCAACCCTGAGCTACAAATATTCTCTTCCATTAGAATCATATTTATAGAACTTTAAAAGGGATGCACTGGATTGCATCGCCTCTCTCTGCAATTCCCCCCCCTCGAAAAATAGAATGCTTTCTTTAGAATTGTGAGGGACAATTTGTTAGAAATCAATAGCTGTGTAAGATGAAGAGTAAATTATAGTCTATAAATCTGAATACAGTTTTTTTTTCTTTGAGACTAAGTTTCTGGCACACAAAGCCAGCAGGACTTTTCCATGTTCAGCTAGACAACTGAAATTATGAGTCCTTCTAAGCCCTCCAGCATCCCAATTGGCTACCACACATCATGTGCCAAGATATACTGAAATTGGTCACTTTATGGGTGAACTGACTAGAAAGACTCATTAGATTCCTTAGCTCACTTGGAGAGATGGGAAAATACAGCCAGCTATGTTTGACCATAAAGGGCTACATGCAGGAACCCTCTATATCTTATGAGTCATATTTTGGTCCTTGCAGTGCCAACTATATTTTAAGAAGTAGTGATAGTTTTCCGTTCTGTGTAAGACATCCTTACTGATCCATTCTGCAAATTCAAAATACCCTATATAAACTGAGTATTTAAACTGAGTATGATTGCCAGCCCTCTGACGAGTTGATATTATATTTCTACATGCCTCAAAGACTTGTTGGTCTTGAACTGAGTAAACAAAAACCACTATTATAAAGGGTTCACAAAGAAAGCCTTAACTCAGTGGTAGTCAACCTGGTTCCTACCACCCACTAGTGGGCATTCCAGCTTTCATGGTGGGCGGTAGGGGTTTGCTG